TAGATCCGGAAGAGATACTCCTGTACTACGGTCGCAAAGAAGAAAATGCTCTGCACACTCAGTGATTTGCTCTGATGCTATCCAAAGAATCACGTAAAGCAACTATAGGTTGGGAATTTAATGGACCTAGGATCATCAAAGCATCCTTCAAAACAAAGAAAAAGAGAATCACGACAAATGTTTTTCAATTTTATGCACCCACCAATGATAGCGACGACGACATTAAAGATCTGCTTTACTAGAGGCTTCAACTGATCGCAGAAAAGTGATCAGGATGGAGGACTTAAACACCGAAGTTGTAATGAACAACAACTGTTATGAAGATATCATGGGATGACAAGAACTGACTGGGGAAAAGGAACGAGAATGGTGAGAGATTTGCTAATCTATGTGCATTCAACTAATTGGTTATACTTACTTACTTATTTACTTACGCCTGTTACCCCTCATCAAGGAGCATATGCCGCTCACCAGCATTTAATTGAATTATTTTTCCTGGTTAGCATTTTTTTAGCGAGTTAGCTTTTCTACGGGATGGGGTTGCTAACCCCATGCCTAACCCACCTCCTTTACTTGGGCTTGGGACAGGCAGTACCTCTAGAAGAGGTGCAGGTTGAGTTTAATTGGTTATAGGAAGCACAATATACCTATACAAACGCATACACGAAGCTACATGGGTCTCATCGGACTACAACACAGAGAAACAGATAGATCATATTTGTATGGACGAAAAATTCAGAACGACAATGGAACATGTAAGAACCAGGAGATGAGCTGACATAGCTCCATATCACCTTCCGATTGTGACTGAGATGAAACTGAAGCGGAAACAGCTGAAAGAGGGAAACATGAAACAACTATAGGGCACGACGACGATACTGGCAGAGAGATATAGTAAATCAGAGAGACCGGTCAAGGACAAACATGACAAACTAATCGCTGAAACCAAGGGATAGAGAAACGGATAGGTGGAGCATTTCGAGGGACTCTTGAATAGACCGGCCCCACTGAGTCATCTGGATATCGAAGCACCACACACAGGCCTTCCCCTGGATGTCAGTCCACCAAACATAGAACGAATCAAGATGCCCAACAGATAGATCAAGAGTGGAAAGGCAGCAGCACGTCACAATATGCCGGCCCAAGCACTGCAGCTAGACAAAGAGGCAGCTGCGAGCATGCTCCACGTTCTATTCAGGAAGATTTGGGAGGAAGAACAGAGCCAACAGACTGGAAGCAAGGGTGCTCTATCAAAATACCAAAGAAAATAGATCTCAGCAAATGTGAAGATCACGCAGTTATCTCACTATTGTCAGTACTGGGAACTGGGTAATATTTACAACATTGTTATGGAACCGGATAAAAAATGAACTTAGAGATCATTCAGCTGGATTCCGTAAGGGTCGGTCGTGCACAGACCCAATCGCGACACTACAGATCATCGTTGAACAATCAAATAAATAGAAATCGTCATCACACTCCAAATTGCTTGACTATGAGGCGTTTGACAGGGTATCGACAACTGGATGTTGTCGATTGTTTGTTTTGCACTGTTTAGCCATCAAACATAGGTTTGGAAAAGAAACTAGATACACTAATATCCAGAGACAATAGAAATTGATAACCAGAAACAAAAAATGGAAAACTGTCAATTGTTAAAACTCAAAATGCGAACAAATACAATAGAAACAATGTACTCAAGTGCACCGACGATAAACTACTTCGGAAACAAAAGCGGTACACTTAGCGAATACTTTAACTGAAATAAATTTAATCAAAGTGGAAATAGTAATCTTCACACGTAACAAACGGAAAATATAATAAAATTAACCCAGAGAAGAAAAATACCGTCGTCATTTTTAAATAGCGTGCCTAAATGTCATGAACCTGTGTAGCTAATTTTTGGTAAAAGTGCATCATCAAATTATTGCTAAACTCAATTTTTTATTAGCCCGATTATCCCTCTGTCCTTGAAATTGAGAGTCCTACGTTTAGACTGGGTATTCACAAGTGAAGAATTTCTTGTCGACGACCTCTCAAAGTGCTACAATCATCAAGAACCGCGAAAGACACTCTTGGGTTGAATATAAACGAACTGATAATAACGGCGCATACAGGCAATACAAAAATATAAGGAACATATGCACGAAGACAATAAGAGCAGGCAGACTTCAGTACCAGACCAAGCTTATCGATAAATTTGTCTCCAATCCGAGAAGCTTATTCCGTTACACAGCTTATCTTCGACAAGCCAAAACTGGAGTTTTCCAACTGCTAGGTCCTAATGGTCCGACCAACAACGACGGTGATGCCGCTAATCTTTTGGCTAATTTGTTCTTAATGGGTGAGAACTAGTCAATCAATCTGTGATATTGAGGTTGTTCTCCTACACTCACCATTCAGACTCATGTTTCTAATTTTTATCCTGGATTAACTATTCTACTAAGACAACCTATAACATGCTAATTCGGACTTTTACATGAGAACTATGTGGCAGGCATGAGATGATGAAATAACGCAGACTGTAAAGGATATGGTTGTCATTCTACCTAACACTATACTCTCTGAATGCACCCTCTGTTCTAATAAGCAGTCTTCCTCATTCCAAACTTCACTTCCCTTCCTTCATTCGAACCTACACCACCTTGAAAAATATCCCAACATGAGCCGGTATCAATATAATTTAATAGTTTATAATACCTCCGTCTATTCCACTACTAAATGTTATGCGTTGTTTATCGTTCATATCCAAATGCCTTGCTGCTCCTCGGTTTCTTTTTTTCTCCTGTTTATCTTTTTTTCTTTCTTAAGAATCTTACTATGAGGGTGGAGCTGTGGAACAAGCTCGACATACGCGCATTCCCAAGGTCATAGTTCGCACCAGGCGCTCCACAAGTCTACTTTATAACAACTGTAAACTTAAAAAGCTGCATTACATAAATACTTAGCACGACCAAAATCCTATTACAATTCTTGTCAAGATTGGATCTGGTATTTAACGCGGAAGCGATGCCCCTTCAGAAAATATTTCGAAGAAAACACAGTATATATGAACGAATGAACTGCTATCCACTTTTATAGATTATGTTTACTAAACAACCCTTCTTGGGATGCATACTGTGAACCAGTATATGTTGTAACTCGTAGATCGTGCCTGTAAAAATGGCGTGTACCTGCCCTTGCAGAAATATATTATTAATATGAATACTCTCGGATATTTCAATCAACCGTCATCGACTACACTGATGAAAGCTTCACCTGCAACTGCACATGAATTTCCGAAGTGGACCTGAGCGCTGACCTGGTGTTCCGTAAACTGCAGCATATAAGAAAAGACACTTCTCGCGGTCTGGATATGGTTCATTCTGCTATACTGAGGGAAGCAGCTTCAATCCTGGCAAACACTACTTAGCGTGATGTCTTCACACTCGCTAAGCCGAGGCAAACTCTCGGAAATTCTGAAGCTGGCTCACATCACACCAATTTTCAAAGAAGGTCGACGCAGCAAATCCTCCAGCTGCCGATCGGTGTCCCTTCTCTCTGTACCTTTTAAAATTATAGAGTCCCTGATATGCGAAGGTATACACGACCACTTATTATCCCTAAAGTTCTCATCCCAACAGCATGGTTTCAGAAGGGATCATTCTTGTATGACCAGCCTGCTGACTGCAGTGGATAGATGGACAACCATCCTTGATCGCAAGAGGGAGGTTGACGTCATTTACCTTGATTTCTCAAAAGCTTTTGATAGGGTCGACCATATATATTTTATCAATAAGCTTAGACGACTAATTATCAAACGACCTCTGATTGACTGATTCGCTTCATGTCTAGAAAACCGACATTTTAAGATCAGGGTTAACTTAACTTTCTCTCAGGCTATGGAATGTCCTAGTGGGGTTCCCCAAGGCTCAATACTTCTTGATTTACATTAACGATCTTCCACAAGAAGTTTCTCCGGACTTATTGCTTTTTGCTGATGAGGTGAAACTTCGGAGAGAGATATGTAACCAAGAGGATATACTAGTACTTCAGGAGGATCTGACTCTACTTCAAAGTTGGGCAGACGACAACGGACTTACCTTCAACACTTGAAAGTGTAAAGAAGTCCAACTGCAACATTTTGCAGACTATAGTTACAGCTTAGGAAACTCCTCTCTAGAAGTTTCCCAAATTGAAAAAGATTTAGGAGTGTTGGTACCCTACGAATTGAAGTTGTACGCTGTGACGAAAACGAATTTCAAGCAAACCTTGCACTGGGAACATTGAAGCGCATTTTTGGCCAGTTTGACGGTAGAACCTTCCACATAATCTTCAACAGTTTTATTCGTCCCTATTTAGAGTATGGTAACATAGTATTTCCTCACTCCCTCCAAAAAGACAAGGGCACTCTGGAACGTATCTAATGTCGAACCATGAAATCAGTTTAAGGACTCAAATTCGAACCTTATGAAGAGCGCCTCCAACCACTTAACGTTTGCCCGTCAGAGTACAGACGTCTTAGAGGTGACCTTCTTATGACTTACTGTATCCTTAACACTTCTGATCATCCCCTTAAACATCTACTTAAGCTTAGTCACAATACTAACCCAAAGAGTAACATCCAGAAACTGATACACATGATCTTAGCTCAAAAAGCCGAGAGACTGGAGACCCAACATAGCAGAACAGACTGTAGACACAACTTCTACTCCATAATAGCTGTCAAATGATGAAACTCGCTGCCGACTGAGCTAGTCCAAGCGACTTCCCAGGATTCCTTTGAGAGGAAACGTGACCTATTCTTAAGGACAAAGATAAAATATCATTATGATTTACCAATTTATTTTTTCCTCTATTGTCGTTACTATACCTAGGTTCTTGCCTGGATGTATTGGTGATCAACTGCTACTAGGCAAGGAAGCCCGTTAAGTGAAAGCTTCAATTCCGTCCTCAACCATTTGAACCATTTGACCATTTGCCCGTGGTTTACAACAGTGGCGTTACGTAAATCCACGCGTATGGATGACGACGAATGTATAGATGACTTTGAATATGACGGTGAAATAGATAATGTATCAGTCGGTGATTGTATGGACTCGAATTCATTGTTCTTGCATCACATTGAATGGGTACGAAATCAAAGGAAAAAACATTTTGAATTGCCTGAAACTGTCAGTGTTATTGAGTGTGAAAATCAGTGCAAAGTGTATCTGATCGGAACTGCACATTTCAGTGAAGAAAGTATTGCTGACGTCAAAAAGGTACGAATTTTCTTGGCCATTATTCGTTAGGTTATGGAACAGGTACATCCTGATATTGTTATGCTGGAACTCTGTCCAAATCGGAGTCATACTTTGACAATGAACGAAGAAAATATTAAAAAGCAACTTAAAGACATTAGTATTGCATCGATCATTCGAAAGGTAGGTAATGATCATTGTCGTCATTAAAAACTTTTGATCATTTTATCAGTCCTTTGGTTACACAAAACTAAATTCGCCACCCAGTACTATATCTTCAGACTTAATCTATTTTTCAGATTTTATAGCTCTTAACCAAGTCATTATATGCTCTGGCAACCAGTGCGCAGTTCGACTAGTCAATTGTCCATTCTGATGGTAAATATGTAGTCGTAACTCATCACAGTTAGGCAGATACGACCATTAGGAATAAAGGATATTCGTAGGTTACTAGCAATCAATCATATGTTCCTTCAAGGTATCACCTCCGTATTTCAAAGCCATCAACCGAGCCATGCCTGGGTCAGGAATAAGGTACTGGGTAGGGATGAAAAGCCAATTGGTGAAGAATTGAATCCTCATTGATTGGGATAGTTAAGCATGTGTTACGAATCCCCAGCTTCGTCACATCTCGGTTGTTGGTGTTCTCTGGTGAAGAAATAGGTCGGGAAAAAGTTAGCGGTAGCCAAACCGAAATATGGCATCAGTTCATATAGTCATTGACAACTGGGCTGTACCATGTTAGTAGGTGTAGACTACTCGTTTATGTTCCTCGTGATTATCGTAACCAATGTTTAAAGACTTTAGATGAGACAGCTCAAAATCGTCTATAGTGACGTAGAATCATTCTTTTCCCGTCTGTTTGATGATCCTAATTTTCGAATTCTCTCATAATCATATTACATTAATGTAGATTTTATTGATCACCATCTATGCTTAATCGTTTTTATTACCATTCATGCTGCTACTACCTCTACTACTGTGGGATTCGCCTCAACAATTTTACCTCTGTGTGCTAATATGGTATGACAACTTTGTCCGATGTACATATGTACGAGGTTCTACTTAGTGGCTGACTGAGACAGGTACATAAACGTAGAATCTGTCGCAGACGTGCTTAGATCCAAGTTTGTTTGCCACAAAATGAAAAATATGTATTAGCAACAATAATAAGAAGAATTAAATGTCGAGAATATGATTCGAAAAGTCAACATAAATAGATGTGCACGGAGGAATACCGGTATTTCCTCAAATTCTCCAGTCAGTGATCAGGACGCCAACCAGTTAGTTTTAATTTACCAACCTTCATCAGATCCACACTCAACGTCTTTCTTTGGCAACCTAAGTATATTTGATCAGACGTGAACAAATAATGGTTGAGGAAGAATTTAATTGCTGAAGTAAGTGCTCGGCTGTATCTACTATCACTTCTATGTAACTGAGTAGTCATAGTGTCCACCACATCTTCGTATGTTAACAGCCTAAAACCACACGTCACGGCAAGCAAACATTAAAATTCGAATGTAAAACTCAACTGTTAACAGTTAGTTAAGTCGTAAGACTTCTGCCTCTTCAGATAAGCATTTTTCTTATTGATTTCGCTTTACAAACGAAGAATGAAAGCGTTAATCTTATGCATATTAAATCTTCATAGACATAAAACTTTGCTGCTTGAAATGAAATCTAGTAACTAACAAAGCGAACCAAATAATAACCACGAGCCTATAAATACCTTCAAGATGCTTTGCGATAAACTCTGTGCACGTTTCAAAGTTGATTATCTTATCAAAATTAGTCCATCGTGACTATAAGACAGAATGTAGGTCCAAGTTTGAAAAGTAAGCAATGATTAAAGACTTACAGTAACAGCTCAGTGTCTTAATTTGAAATACCACCCTTTATATTCCTGCTTTTGGATATAATATCAGTCCATACTTTTTATCCCTTGGACTTATTCATCATTTCTGTTTTAACCTCATCTCATCGTATGCATCATTTACTTCACCGTAACGAAAGGCTACATAATGCGACAAATTATTGTTAGGTCCTCCATTATCTACTTTTGATTTTCCCGGTGTTTTCTACACTGTTGTAATGTTTATTTATGTATTATTTAAATTTGTTTCATTTTTACCCAGCATGGTGTCAGTTCAGGTGTTTTGCATTATCTCTTGCTTCGATTAAGTGGCTATTTGGTTGATACTCTTGGAATGGCACCTGGTGGAGAGTTCAGAGCTGCCGCTAAAGAGGTAAGGTAGATATATAGGTTTGTGACGAATTATCGTCATACATTATACTCCCTACCTCTTAGTATTTAACACTGAGATTCTTCAGTAAAGTGTTTGTTACTGTGAAGTTGTCTGTCTAGTAATAATCAATCATTCTAATGTATTAATTTATGCTGACTATTTTTGTCATGATACATGTTTAGTGACATTTATTTACTAGGAAATATTTTTTGGTGTTTTATGCAATACTTTCTGTACATTTGTTTGGATCTACCGTATAGGCGATGAAGCAGCCTCACTGTCACGTTGTTCTAGGAGACCGTCCTGTAAACATTACACTTTATAGAGCTTTGGAGACTTTGGGTCCGTGGACTAAGCTCAAGTTTTTTATTGCTCTTCTATTCAGTTTCCAACCTGTTACGTAAGTAATTGCTTATAAATTTACTACGCTGTGTAATTTTGTCAGTGAGTAACTTCAACCCTGAGTTTTTGTCTGTATGCTGAAGTTTGCCTACATATCTAAAGTTACTGCACTTTCTCTCGTTAAGTGTAATTGTTCTGTAAGCAGAGTGTTTTCCAAACTTGTTTCCTATTCTAGTCACTGACCACAAACGTAAATAATTCGAAAAAAGGTTTCTATTGAAATGTAACAGTTCCCCGAGTTTCTAACCGTCCTAGCACTTCACTATTAGGATCAGTGACCTGTAGCTCAGCTAGTGAAAACTATCCTGTTCAGTTAAGAAGCGTCTCAGTTGCTCTTTTCTTTTTAATTTATTTTTTGGTCTATTGATCTTTATTTGTGTTATGCATCTAATTTCAGTAGTATCCCACGGCTTTCCATTACACTAAAATTTTTTTGTGATATTGTAAATTCCCTTTTAGGAAAGAGCAAATTGAGGAGATGAAGAAAACAGATTTTCTGGAAAAACTGTTAGTTTCCATGGCTGGTGAACACCCAGAATTAACAAGGATATTATTAGATGAACGAGATCAATATCTAGCTCGTTCCATCTGGGAGGCTACTGGCATGGAAGAATATTTGAAAGCACAAGCAATAAAGACGAATTTTACTTCTGAGATACATATTTCATCAAATATTGAAGAGTCTGTGGTGCAACATCGTAAAAATATTGATCACTCTAATGACTGTCCCCTGGATGGAATCGCTAACAGTTCTGAACAAGATAATCTCCTTAATAACCCCTCTTCTCTGCATCTGAGTTGTTGTTCACACTGGCCACCGACCAATATATTGCCAAGAGTTGTTGTCGCTGTTGTTGGAATAGGTCATGTGGCTGGAATCCGCAAAGTCTGGTCAACAGTAAACACAATCAAAAAACATGAATTATGTGTGTAAGTGAAAATTGTGTATCCAACGTTTAACAGGGTGATGACTGTTCATACATTTCTTACCATGAAATCACATTCCATTTTTAAGGTTTTCAATTACTGACTTCCCAGTTGGATTGTCTATCAACCTCATGTTTTATTACTCATCATTGTTCTCTAAAGTATTTAATTAATGTCTCAAAACTTTATACATACAGTTTCTAAAGCGTATGTGTGTTTCATTTGCTTGTAGCTGCGCTTAGATAGATGTGGTATTTTTATTATGAAAGCCTACCACTTTTACTGATATCATTTTCACAACAGGCTAACACAGCTGGTCTTGGAAACTGTATACACTAGACTGCTGCTTTTTTCAGTTTAAAGCTTTTAGGACCACGTCTAAAACTGGTATTTTCCGCAACAAACACCACTATTCAACGACATAATCAACAGTCCACATTTTTCAGTTTCATTTAGTTTGCAACATAGCTGGATCACCATTCAATGCAATTGGTGAGCATTCACTCCTCTCTCAGCTTGATTTTTTGTTTGGTTTGCCACTAAAATAACTTGCACTTATGAATAATTTGCACTGCACATTGTTTTTATTATTGGTTTTCATGCCTGTACATTTCTGAGGAGCCTTTAATAACCACAGAAATCAGTCTGACTAATATAGTGTCTAAAATAATTCACTGATCATCCTACGCTTACCTGGAGCTTAAGAAAATGAGAATTTTCAGAACTGAGCATGATTATGTCAACCGACTTTTCACCCTTCATTAGTTTACTTACCCAGTAACAATGCAAACATATTTGGAATGCTCTTATCTCCATCGGAATCTGACTCGAAAACATTACTTTTGGCCTGCTGTACATCATTGTCTAGATTACTCTACATTAACTACCCACTTATCATAGAAGCTCCATTAGCCTTAGTAGTTTGGTATTTGGTGAGATTGTTATATCCCGAAGAGAATTATGAATGGTAACTTTCGAGAACTATTTATGTATATTTTCATCGTATAATTTTTAAACAACCAAACTATTCATATTTATGTTCCTCTTACTATAAGCTTTATTTTGACCTGTAGACCATTACTATACGATTGACCGTTCTTGAGTTATCCCCAGTCTATTAATTACTGTCTCCCGCATTCACAGCCACATTTGTCTGAATCTTGTACAAATGTTATTATCTATTTTATGGTACGATCTGGTTTGTTTGATTAGTATATAAACCCAGTACGCTTGAAATAAATGATTTATACCGCAGAGGCAGGAATCGGTGTTCTGGACTTAACCGGCTGGGCTAGGCAGAAAGTAGGACCAACAAGTACTCAAGACTGCTCGTACGGGTTTCGTGTATCATCGGTCCCACCGATAATTCACTGCTCTCTAATGGGCGGGCACAAGATATAACGATTGGCGTTCATAGGTTATAACAAAGATCTCAGCAGAAAACGTGTATACGGCGCAGCAGTACGCTCCGTCTTACTATAAATGTGTGAAACATGCTCTATGGAAGTTAAAGACTTGTAAGCCGCAGGTTTTCGATTATAAGTGTCCTTGAATTATTGCTGGTGTAACGTGGAACGACCGAGTAAGCCCCCAAATGCCCTGGTACGGCCGAGAGTGGGGAGAGTCTGCTCTCCCTCTCGAAATGCTCTCATATGGCCACGCGAATATATAACCTCTGCCAGGGAAGTCCTACTCACTGCCTTCTCGTGGCGGGGGTGTTGTTCACAAAAGTGAGAAGACGAAAAGCGAATGTCCGGCGCTTTAACCGGGTCGGTGGATGTGGAGGATCCACCTAGGGGAGTTGGAAAACCCTCATTCCAAACCAATGGTGCACATGGGCTGGCTCTAGTATCCTGAAGGAACAAATGGAGTATGAACCAATCATTGGTCACCGGCTATCATGAGACTGATCTCCTCACAATGCTCCGCTGCCTTGTAGATTAGACCTTTAGGCTCCGGGTGTGGCTCCCTAAGAAAACCACCTGCTTCGATCTGGGCACCTGGGCAGTATCTCAGCCCTAACACAAATCGAATGAGATTTGTGAAGCGCATATTTATCTGGTGCTTCCTTGTACCAATATTTATGTGTTTAAATAAATAATAAATAAACAAAATAAGCTATGTTGAAGCTAGACGCAGTATATTAAGCACAGCTGGGAAGTCGGTTGATGAAGAGGTGAATCTACATAGACTGAGGTGACTGAAAAATGTTACCATCCCGAACCACCACCATATATTATTATTATTACCATTATTATTATGATTATTATTATTATTGAAGCACATAAATATTAGTACGAAAAGCACCAGATAAATATGCACCTCACAAATCTCATTTGACTTGTGGTAGGGCTGAGATACTGCCCAGGTGCCCAAACCGAAGCAGGTGGTTTTCTTAGGGGGCCACACCCGGAGCCTTTGACCTAAATGTCTGATCTACAAGGCAGTGGAGCATCGTTAGGAGATGCAGTCCCATGGTAGTCAGTGACCAACAGTTGGTTCATACGCCATTCGTTCCATCAGGATCCTGGAGCCCATGTGCACCATTGGTTTGGAATGAGGGTTTTCCAACTCCCCTAGATAGACTCACCGTGTCTACCGACCCGGTTGAAGCGCCGGACATTAGCTTTTCGTCTTTTCAATTTCGTAAACAATACCTCCGCCACGAGAAGGCAGTGAGTAGGACTTCCTTGGCAGAAGCTATATACGTGTGGCCATGTGAGAGCATTTCGAGAGTGAGAACGGACTCTCCCCACTTTCGGCCGTTCCAGGGTATCTTGAACTTCAATTGTGCCTGACTTAAGAGTAAGTTGTACGATAGCTAAGGGCGGGCAAACCATAACTGTGGACCAGTGTGCAAATTGATTTATGATTGGTCTGACCTACACGGGTAGATGTAGACGACCCTTTTGGGTTTGAGTAATAATCGCAACCAGAGATTTAAAAAGTGTAGTGACGTGGCTCAGAATCGAGCTTTATTATGTAGATGCATTCACTGTTTACTTCCCTTTAGATCTTCTGTCCTTATAACATCTTTCCAAACCACATTCTCAATGTTTAACCTTTCTCATTATAATAGTTACTACAATCGTTTCAACTTCTTTCCTCATTTTGTTAGTTTCATCTCGTGCTAATGTGATACAGTAATATTTGTGGTAGGCTCTATGTTGATTATGACTGACCGAGTCTATAATTAAGACAACAGTTCCACAGCACTCCTGAATTGTCAGTTATTATTTTCTTCACATCAGTTTACGATGATAAATGCTTTGAAACATTTCCAAAATTTATGATCTATCAGTTCAAGTTGTTTTTAACGCTGTTTATGATGACTTTTGGTGATTAATGAAAGGTTTTAACATGTATTACGTTCATTTATTTTTTTTTGTAGACTACTTGAACCTCCTCTTTCCTGGCGCATATTTAAGTGGTCGTTGCGAGGCGTTTTGATTTCTTTAGTTGCTGGAGTTGTTTATGGTGCGTATCGGTGTTCATTTATTTTTGGTTCTTTTGTTTATAATAGACTTTTGTAAATAATTGCTTGTAAAGCGTATGCACTAAGCCTGAACTGTGATTTAGTTTTGTTTTACTCTTGTTGTCTGATTAATCCTTTGTATACTTTAAGATCAATATTCTGTTGTACATTTCTTTGGACTGGGTTTTTCGATTCCTTTTAAATACATCTTTTCCATTTTGGCTGATCTGTTAATTATATATGTGTGTTCTAAAATGTAATCTATTTGCACCACTTTCTTATTGATTCAGTATTTAGTTCTCACCTCGTTATTAGAAAGTTTTTCAACGATGGGCTACTTGTAGGCAATTAAAAAATCTACTCAGCCTAATTAAATATGTCCACCTTGTTCATTCATTTAGTATCTATAGGTATTATGTGTAATTTGGATTTAAAATAAATTATTCGATAGGGTAATATTTAGTTAGACTGCTCAGATTTTAAAAAAACTGGCAAAGTTGGATGGATGAAGCTTATCAAACTGATTGGGTTGTCAAATGAGCTGTAGATCCTGAATATGTGTTGAAAGAATAGTGCGTTTACTCTTTCACGCCTGCCATTCCTCTAGATAGTAATTTTGTCAGGAAGTGTTATTTGGTTTGCTTGATTTCGTAATTTTGAAGATTCGTTAGGAAGGTGGTATTTGTAATAATGATCTTTGTACTTCTAACTTAGTAACTGACATTTCATGAACACATTTAATGATACATATGTTATATCAGTCATAATTCCTAAAGCAAAGTTAACATTATGACGTACGTCACTGCCTTAGAACTAGTTATCTAATTAGCTTCTCGAATATCACATTAGAAACCGAAGTCACTTGGAATTATTTATCCTTTGTATAGAATTACTGGTAGTTTTGACATACTTGTTATCAAGTGGTAATAGAAATTTATGCAACCTGGGCATCGTTAGTATTTCATGAACGAACCACATGGGATATAGCATCTCATAGATTTACTTTTAAAGCAATACATCTTGCGGTTTGTGTGACCACTAAATTTTACATATTCTTTCCCTAACAAACCTTAGTAGATAATACTGAGATTATGGTTTGAAAATACTGTTGGGATGATCTTATGTTAGATCCAAACTACTTTTCTGAAAGCTGAAATCAAATATCAGCAAAACATACATCTTATGATCCCAGTAAAACAGACTATTACGGTGACCCACATAAGATGTATTCCTGTTATAACGCTGAAGAACCGTATATTTTGTCATACAACAAACGTTAACTTTGGCAACTTAGAAGGCATTATTATTCGCTATATAGTAGCGGACGATCGGGTAAGTTGATTATATGGTGACATTAACTTTTAGTTGTAATGAAACTCAGGCTTGAGTTAGCTAACACTAATCTTAACTTGTAATCTAACAAATTTTCCCACAAAAACGGAGTAATATCCCCTTTTTTAACAAGGTTTAAAATCACATACAAGAATACTGTACAGCACCCAAGAAAAAAACACAAACATTGAACGGCGAACAACTAAAAATGAAATAGAATATGTGATTGTAGGGAAGTTGAGTATAAGACAAAAAGTTCTTATTTCGGGGAAAGAGGTATCTTGGACGGAGGGGGATTTAAAGGTACAGGATATAGCAGCTAGTACTATTGTGATGTGACCTACATATATCCATATAAGTAGTATATGGTGATGGCTAGACATAGGATGTATTTTGGCAGAAGACCGATAAGGAAAGAACTGAAATGAAGCGCAATTGGTAGGAAAATGCACAAACAATGAAATTAGAGAAGATGGATTGATATTTACAGGAGGATCAGTGAAGATGGGGACAATCGGTTGTTATTTGCAAAATAACTGTATGGCTATCAGAATTTAGTGAGATAGACTGTAATTTGTGTCTAAATACATTCGATTGTCCTCAGTCGTGTTTTGTCCACTACACTATAACCTACACAAAGTTATCGTGCACTTTTGTTCTCTGAGCTCGATGGTTTGACCGTGGAGCTTTCATCGTTCTTCTGAACGAAATCATTGGCACAAAATTCAAGTAGCAGTGGTGTTGGGATTTCTCCATATATGACTTTCAACTTATCCTGTAGACCTCCATCATGATTGGCTACTGTGAACCTTTAACCTGTCATTTCAATTGTATTTCCCATTGATTTGATTATTGGTCCTATATTTGTCCATAATAATAATTGTCATTTAAACACATAAATATTGGTGCAAAATGGCACCAAATACATATGCACCGCACAAATCTCATTTGATTTGTGTGAGCGCTGTGATATTGCTCAGATGCACAAACCTCAAAATTCAAGGTTTATATGTGTCGTCAAAAAATGAAACGAAAAAAAAAGAGTCTATCCGTAATTCAAGGTTCAATATTCACGTCTGCCTAGAATCTAATGGGGAATTATGTAGACAAGGTTAAGGTAAACTTATTCTATCATTCAGTCATTAATATGTAAAATACTTGGATTTCCCAATTCTTGACAACCTAGCTTTGGAGATCAAATGAGGTATCAATTTTGAAGGCTTTATAAATGTAACAATACAGATGTAAATGTTGCACATAGACGACTATTTAAGATATGTTCTATAACACTGCTCTTAAACCTTATGAGAAACATGACCTTCGCATTTTCATTCGAACTCATTAAGTCGCTGCCTAAAATGACAATTTTCGCCTTTCTTAAAATCTTGTTTTTGGTGATAAATACTATAATTCAACTGATTATAATATTTAAAATTATTCGAGTTATTGTACTAACTAGGAATTTTCGAAATACTACAGTTTATTATATGTGGAACTAGATGAACACAAATGAACGTATTATGTCTTGAATTCGTATTCAGCGGGCAATCAAGTATAAACGAACAATTAGTTCATACAAATACCACAATGATCTAACTGTTTAAGGTGTTTATCTTATTTGAATTACATTAATGATAAAACACCGTGTTGGAGACTCTGTAATGGCTGATGTGTTAAGTCTAGATACATGACCTTAATCTTTCGTCTTCATTCATCTGGTGCTTGTGATGCATTAAATATTGAGTTTTACTAATCTACAATCTTCTATTCCAGACATATATTTTTTGGGTAAGCCCAAGTTTTAATTATTAACCATATGAGCACTGATAGAATAGATAATCTTACATTCATTTTCTGAGGTATGGTAAGGTTACTGATCTCGGGACAGAAAAAGTATTTATCTAGCTTAAGTAGAAGGTCTCTCGACTGAACTTCGACTGAACATTTCTGATTATCTTGTACACACTCGAGCAGCAGATGAAAGTGAGGTGATCATATAACAACAAAGCCCGAAAGGAGTGTTTCGAAAGTTCCCAGGAGATCCTCTGATAAAGAGGGAAGGTCGAAAAAGAAATATGTCGTGAGTTCAGTAAAATATCCAGGAGTGCATGAAATTAGGCTATTACAAGATCGGGTTTGAATGATACAATCCTTTTAGCTAATCAATGAACACCTCAGTGTGACAGTGGTGCGAATACTACAAAATTAGGAATACTTGGAACTAGTTTGTTAGTGAATATTACTTTTTTCATGTATTCATATTTTATGATCAATAAATAGCTCCATTACTATATTTATATACTGTGTTTTTTCTTAGGCTTCTGTTCAAACCATTAACCATCATTACCTTATTGTCAATAGATTTCTCACAGCATACTTTATTAACACATTTCTTTGGAAAGTGTTCGAAAAATCGTTTTTTTTCATTTTATGGTGCGATGTGGTGTATTATTTTTGCACATAAACCGTCTTATGTTTGAAACATAATAGTAAGCGGAGCTGGCCGCTGATATTTGGGACTGAAGGCAGTGCGTAAAGAACAGCTTGCAAATAGCGAACCAATAGAGAGTTAGCTTCATCAGCTTAAACTCAACAGTGCTTCTCAAGTTTATAGTCGGTCTGGGGCAGTTGGCTTAAGTACTTAAGGTGTCATTTCTGTCATGGCAAATATGAAGTACAGAAATGAATGGGGGAACAATCTGAAAACTTTAAAAAAATCAAAATATATAAAAACGAAGAAAAGCAATGATTTATGGAGTTCGAAAAAGGAACAAACCCATGGTTTATGGGTTGGTGTTCTAGATCACGTTAGGCTCACCAATGAATATGCCACAGGTATTGTAGTTTGACAACACCTTACCACAAACACCGATAATTGAATCGCACCCACCCAGTGTAATCGAAAGTCAGAAGCGAAGAGGTTGGATGATATATTTGATGGGTTATCAATATATCGAGAAGTGACTGATCTAAACCGGCTAGTGATCTCGGGAGACGTTGAGCACGGCGTTCCAACTCGTGATTTGGTGTGGATACATGTCCGAGCAACGTTTGCTAAATGAGTTTATTAAAACTAATGTGGTCAGTATCCAATGTCAAAGACTTACAGAGCTATCGATTTCGTGGATTTATCTACTGCTATACTACAATAGTGGAAGGTCATTCGATATGAAGATATTTTGACAAATTATTTGAAAATGTAGAACAATTAGCCGTGATTTACAGCTAATGTATGAAGAGCACCATTACTTGATGTTAAGAATAATCTTAGTCAAATATAAAAAAATTAGTGTTGCAACGGAGTTGTTCTTGGCACTATCTTCGGTTTAACATAAAAAGTTAGTTAGCGTATATTCCAGTATGCTGTCCTTGTGTTCATATCCAATCGCATCTTCATTAGTAGGCCAAATGAAGGGACGAAAATACAACCGCAGGGATGAAAATGCAAATAATGTTCCATTACATTTGTTAACTTTAGTTATGGAGGCATTTTCCTAACATAATTATTATTTAAACGTCGGATTTAGTAATACTACGAATACATTTGGACAGACATGGAAAATGTGAATTTTGACTGGGTAGTAACAGTAATTCTCTAAACATGAGTGCATGCACGACAGGTATGCTGTACACTCAATGTTTTGATGTGTAATAAAACAATTATTTATGCTCGTACTCGTCGGTTTTCGGTGCACACAAGTTATTTACAAGTATCAAGTTTGGCATATGATAGAAATCGACTTGTTTGAGATGAACTGATACCCAGTTGATTAATTTTTTAAACTATATATTCCACAATTATAGGTGACATGATTTTGCCTATCTTTAGCCGAATAAATCCTAAAAAGGTGACAAACACTGAGTACCGTATATATAAAAAGCCAAGGCTTACTTCATGGTCAAAGTGTAAACACCATTTATTCTGTTAGCAAGTTTTAAGAGTTGGCAACTTGATTTAAAAGCCTGTATGTTTTTCGTTCATCCTCGGCTGTTGAACTCGTTTGACATGTCATTTGACTGATCCTGATTTAGTAAGCAGAAAAACATAAAATTTATCAGATCCAAAATCATTTATGAGCATTCTAAATATCAAAATTAATATACAGTAGGACAAAGTAGAGAGGTCTGTCTTTGATAGATTTTATCGAACAACCTTGACATTACTTAGTTGTTTGGACAGACCAACC